TTCAAGGTGTGCATGACCACACTTGGCTTGCCCTGAAATTTTCTAATAAATTGTGTTGACACTGTGGATGAACTCAAGTGGAACTGAGATGGTATGTCTTCCAATGGAGGACTTGAGTATGGTATATGATTTGGGTTGTTTTTCTTTCACAGTGCCTTGTCATTTTTGACATGCTGATACTGCAAATATTTTCTTTGATTTATACTTGTTTAACATTTTGGTGCTATTATAAATGATACTGTTTAAAAATGTGAATTACAATTGTAGTATATAGAATCATTACTATGTTTAAATAGAGTTTGCATTGTAAACTGTAAAACTCATTTTCTATTTTTGCAAATAGTATCCTTTTTTATTATATAATTTATTTTTATTTTATGTGTATGAGTGTATTGCCTTCACATATGTAAGTGCACCTGTGTCCTGCAAAGCTTGAGGAAGTCAGAGGGTGTTGGATTCCGTGGAACTGAATTTACAGATGATTGTTAGCCCCAATGTGGGTGTTTGGAATTGAACCCAAGTCCTCTGCAAGAACAGCCAGTGTTCTTAACCACTGAGCTATCTCTACAGCCCTAACACATTTTATTACCTTTATTATTTTATTTTGTATGTGTGTGGCAGTCAGAGGTCAACTGCAGTTGGTTCTCTCTTGATATACTGAGTCCTGGGGATCAAATTCAGTTTGCCAGACTTGGCAGCAAGTGCCTTTACTCACTGAGCAACCTTGCCAGCCCTGTTTGAAATCTGCATACAAGGTACTAGATATCATTATGGCATTTCCTTTTTTGAAAAAAATTAAAAATCTTATTTCATGTGTTTTACCTGCATGTATATAAGTGCACATATGTGCAAGCCAGAAGAGGGCATCAGATCCCCTGGAACTGGAGTTATGGACAGTTGTTTTCTGCTATGTGGGTGCTGGGAACTGAACCTGGGTCCTCTGAAAGAGCAGCCAGTGCTCCAGCCCCTCATTGTAGCATTTTCAAATAAAGTATTTTGGTGATTCTCCTTTCCCTTATCTTTCTCCCCCTGCTACTCCCAGTCCTCCTAAGAGATTTCCCTCACCCCAGTCTCTTTTCCTGTTTCACATTGGTTTTTAAAAAACTTTTTATTTGAATTTTTGTGTATTTCATACAGAAAATCATCTTTATATTCCCTTCTCTTTTCCCCTTTGGCACCCTCCCATAGCCCCCTAACTGGAATTCATACATTCCGTCATTTGTTTTAAGGCCTATTATGTAGTGTCCTGAGATGTCCTTCAGTGCAAGCTCATCCACCAGGGTTACATCAGCTTTTCTAGAGTCTCTCCCTTCAAGAAGATTGCTCTTCCTCACTCACCAGTAATCAGCTGCCAATAATTCTTCAATTAAGATTGGCTTGCTGTTCATTTCCACAGGTCTGTGCTGGATTTTTGTCTGCCCAAGTTTGCATGGGGCTTGTGCATGCTGACACCATTGTTGTAGGTTTGTATGAGAAGGGTCCCAGGTGCCTGTGGGACTATTTTGGTATGGTCGTGCAGCTCCTCCCTGGCTCTTACAATCTTTCCGCCCCCTCTTCTGCAATGGTACCTGAGCCCTGGGTGAGTTGACCTCAATATAGGAGTCCTGTCCAAGGCCCCACACTCTGCTCTTATTCTCTGCGTTTTGGCCATTTGTGGCCTTTTGTGTTCCTGGCCCTTTGTTGCTTCACTGATGAGAATTAAAAGATGCATTAGTGTCCTCTTCATCCCTTGTTCTATGTTCTGTGAGTCTTACGTATAGAAGTTGCGTCCTAGATGTGCCACTTAGGCTTGGCCAGTTCACTGAGAATCTCTGTGTGTGACCAATGGTGTAACTCTGGAATAATCTCTACATAACAAGAACAGTGCCAGACAGGAGAAACCTTCCTTTGAGTTGTTGGTCAGGGTAGTCCAAGAGATTCCCAAGATTACACAGAGTATTGCCACAGTCCTTGATTGCCTCCCAGAACTTGAAGGTAAGACCCTATTGCTGAAGACCGGACATACTTCAGTCACAGGATTTGGAGCAATGGAGCTGGAGCTGATCTGGAAGCTACCTCCCCTGAAGGCTAGCTCTCATAGCTTTGGAGAACACTATGCAAGCTGGTAAGGGAGAACATCAGTCAATGGTCTAACCCTAGCTTCAAAGCCTAAAAACTATCAATGACCAGCACAGCAAACACTGGTGCAGTAGTGGCACTTTTATCTTGGGGATAATCAACAGTTACCTAATTGGACTTAAAAGTCCACTCAGTGGGAGGAAGTTCATGTCTGGTGCTTTAAACCTAGCCAAATACACATAGTTGGAGAGGTCATAGATCTTAAGAGAAAACCCCAAGGCTCTCATATCCCTAGACAAATGTAATTTCTTACTATGTGCAAAATATGGATTCTTAAACTTACAGAGAAGTATCCTAGTCACCACCCATCAGAGTGGCTTCTTTTTCACACTGTTTTTTTTAAGACAATCTTATGTATCCCAGGGTGGTCTCCAGCTCAGTATATAGTTGAGCCTCCCCTTGGCTCCAGATCCTTCTGCCTCCACTTCCTAAGTACTTGGATTATTGGCATATATCACCATACCTTCTTGGTAGATTTTTTGTATAATTTATGGTATGAATAGGCAGCTTTAGTTCATGTTTTTCAATCTGCATAACTTTTTTTTTCTTGGTCTTACTACACTGGCAGGAGCATTTAAAACAATTCTGAATAATATTGATGAGACTGGCCCTCCTTTTTTCTTGCTCCAAGCTTTAGAGGAAAAAAAGTTTTCCATCTTCCACTACTATGCATGACATTGAGTGTAGGTTTTCTTTTACTCCAGATGTCTTATTTCAGAGCAAAGGAAGTTCCCTTAACAATTACTACCATTTGGAGTGGCATTTTAGTTATATATATCATGGATAGATGCTGACTTTGTGAACTTTCTGGCATCTGTTACAAATGATCATATGATCATGTGGTTTTTCCTTAGTTGGTTAATATGGTGCATCATATTGATTGCCCATTTTTAAAAATCAAATCTTCCATAAACCCACTGGATAATAATGTATTGCTATATATTGCTGGATTTTTATTTGCTTAATATGCCAAGAATGTGTTTATGAGAAATACTACTTTTCAGTGAATGAATTTACTTCCAATAGTTCATTTTCTAAATTTCAGTATAGTTGCACAAGGCCCTCAGTTTGATCTCTAGTGCCCTCCCCTAAATTAAAAACTGCTTTAAAATTGTGTTAATTCCAACATTTAGTTACTTTAATATTGATATCTGTTGTGTTTTTCCTTTAGAATTGGACAAATTTCTGACTTGTATTGTTTGGGTTGCACTGTGGACATTTTTAATACTATTGCCAAGTGCCTTTGGATACTGTTAAAATCCTCTGCAGCACTTATTTCAAGCAGGCAATCATTCTGGTTAGGTTGAATCGACTGTCTCAACTGCTGTAGGAAGAGGTTCCAAACCAGTCATTTTGATGATTTGGGTTTGTATATTTGAGGCTTATTATTTTAGGTTTCGGACAACGGTTTACATTGCAGTTTGGTTCTCAAAGCCTTCCATACCTGTTTTGTGTTTTGTATATGGATAGCTCAGAGATGAGCCTGGAACCTGTCTCACAGCAGATACAACACTAGGGGTTGCTCTTTCCCACCTTTGCTCTCTAGGACCTCCCGCTAGCTACCATTTTCTTGAACACCTTGCTAGAAACACGTGGCTTCAGAGCTATAGCCCTGTGCTGTCTGTCCTGCAGTTCTGTGAGCCATGGCTGCTGTAGCTCAAAGTTAAAGAGGAAAAAAAGGAAAAGCAATTCTAACTCTCTTCTCTGAGCCCATTGTCCTGGTTTCCCTGGGTAGAATGGGTATTTTTGAGAGTCAGGAAAGAAAATAGACAACAGAAAAAAATAACTGAACTAAAAATGCACTGTTTAAAATGTCAACGATTTTAAAAATAACCAGATTGCTTCTGCTGTGACCAAACTGGTTTCATGACTCAACCTTTTTGCATTTGACTCCTTTGTTCTAAGAGTTATGTAGTGACAGAACAACATGTGAATCAGAGAGGTCCTGGGATAAAACTCAAATAATCAGAACAGAATTCGGAGAGTAACATTTTATACTTTCAAAGCAGAAAAAGTGAAAAATAGGACTCCCTAAGAAAGACAACCCTTGTAGCCCCCAAAACTTGTTAAGTTATGCTGACATTTTAAGAAAACTGTGTGGAACCCAGGAATTGTTTCTAGAACATGGACTTGCTTGTCGAAGCACAGCAGGAATGCTAAAACATTCAGCTTAATTTGCCTCTAGTTGGGAAACTGAAGTTGCAGAATACCCAATGGTTAGAGATCTGGAGATGTGAAATGAGTATGTATTTATGTGCAAGCAAAAGAAAATGGGATTCTGTTTGACCCCTGTTAACCCTTGTTAGGGTCAGGCTTTCTCTCTGATACCACCAGAAGACATGAGCAAGTGATAAAAACAGAATGGTCAGAGATATTCTCTCAACTTATTTTTTGCGGTGTCAGAAATTAGTATTTTTTTTTTGTTGTTGTTGTTGTTCTCTTTTTGAAACTTTTACAATTTTATTAGAATCCTAAAGAAAAATCCTCAGGGCAGGCGAGCTGGTAATCTTGGCAGCTGCCTTGAGGTGGTGAATGGTGGGAAGAAGGAAAGCAAGCCATGAAGTCATGCAGATTTAGAGCCTGCATGGGAGGTCAGACACATAGCTTAGTTCTTTAAAAGCCATTATGAAATATAGTAGGGCAGGTAAAGAGAACAATAAGCTAAAGAGTAAGAAAACAAATGACATTATAGGTCCAGGATATAAAAAAATGCAAAAAAGAAATCTGAATATTCAGTGTCTAATTATGTAAAACAGTTATTAAGCATACACCAGTGTTCTGGGAAGAAGCAGGAAAATCAACTCCTGTTCAAAGTAGAGAACAACTTGTTCCTATAATATTGCTTCATTAATTCATCAAGATTTTCCACCCACAATTTCTAGGTCAAGAACCCAACACAGAAGAGAGAAATGAGAAGCTGAAGAAAAGTCCACACAAGACATGGAATAAAACATGAAAATCATTTTCATGTATCATTGTAATTTATATTTTCAAAAGGAAGATTTTTCCTTCTAAAGAAAATCATCTGTTTTCCTTAGTTTCTTAGTCAGTCATTGGGACACAAAAATGAACAATGCAGCATACAATGTCATCATTTTATCATCAGGAAAGCAATTCACTGGGAATGACGGGCTGCTGTAGAGTAACATGCATTTCTCTGCATTGATGAAGAAAACATTTTCTAAATTGAATTGTCTTCGTGGCTTCAATTAAATACATTTCACATATATAATTTCCATCGCAGATTCTCTAATTTCTCTAACTCCTACCAATCCTCCAAAAACCTCTGTAGATTTTTGATGAAACTTGATTTGACCAATTAATGAAATGTAAGCTATTTAAATCTAGTTGAGTCACACACTAGGAAACGCCCCTTTCCAATGGAAATATTATACGCTACATATTGTATGAATGGAAATAAATGCAACTTACTAATCTTATGTTCTTCCATGATGTTAAGTTTTCACTACTTCAAAACTAACCCATGTATCTTTTGCAGGATAGCATGCTATATATGACCTTCCTCTCCTCCACAAACAATGCTGTACATGCCGATTACGGGGACTCCAGTTTCTTAAAATATGGATCCTTCACCAACAGACTAGATCTCTAAACTCACAATCTTGGGCATACTGCTTCATTTTTTTCTTTAAAAATAAATTTTGAAGTTGATTTTGATGGTCACAAAATTTAGGAATCATGCACACAAAGAACTAAAAAACATGGCTTATATTCTATTATTAGTAGTTGTAATTGCTTGATATGTAGCTTCTTTGGCTCTCATCCAAAAGACCCAAACCGAAACTTGCTACAAAAATACTAACAAAAAACCCCTAAATGAGCTAGAAGCTACAATTCTTTTTTTTTTTTTTTTTTTGAGATAGTCTCACTATAGCCCTGCCTCGCCTTGAACTAATTATGTAGACCAGGCTAGCCTTGAATGCAGAGCTCCACCTGCCTCTGCTTCCTGAGTGCTGGGATTACAAGATGTGTGCCACCACAGCCAACTAGAATGAATTCTTCAGGTCCTGTTAGTTCCAATATCTTATAATGTTTATGAGACATTAGGACAAAGGAAAGGTATGTGAGAGAGACCAAGGGAGATGACCTTCTACAAAAGGTGTTAGGAAAAAAAAAAATCAACCTAACATCTTGAGGCTTTCAGCCTTCAGAACTGTAAGAAAATATC